GCTTGTTCGTATTCTCCTGGAGGAAGCGAACGCGATCGCGTCCCAACTAGAGGAAGTACGACGGCAAATCCAGAGGCGGCTCCTCGAGGCGTTCCGCGACTCCCTCGTTCCGCTCCAGGCGCATAACCGCGAAGTGTCTATTGCAAGCCACGCAGTCGACGTCGACATCCACAAGATTATCTTGGAAGGTCTCAAGAGTCTGCTCGAAAACTGCGGCGAGTCGTTATTAAGCGGCTGGGAGCTGACGTTTGAGATCATCGACACTATTTTCATTACCCGCAACCTCAGCGGAGAATCCGAACGGGAGACATCAGCTCAGAGGACGGTTCTTCTGACACGGGCCGTTAAGCTTATACGCCCGTCGTTCGCGTCACTGCAGCTCATATGCTCCGACTTCCTGCCTTCATTGCCTAATACATGCTTTCTCAATCTGGTCGATACCCTGTACAAATTCTGCACGCAAGATGACGAACTTAACGTGGCGCTGACGGTAAGCCTAAACATCAGGCCAACACGTATTACCACTAACAATCCATAGACTGTCACGTTTTTCTGGGCCATTTCGGATTTCCTCTCCGGGAAGAGCAAGTCCATGTCCATCACAGAAGATATGATGCAAGACTCTGGAGACAAGCCGTTGGTTCGAATGGCATCGGAGCCGTTCGAACACGGCTCGGCAGCCGCGCTATGGATGCTCCTGCTCCTGAGGCTCACCTCCGTTGCGACGGACCAAAGACTGGAGCTGAGAAACAGTGAGTGGCCGTACTGCCTCAAGTCATAACAGAATAATGCTCACCGAATAGGTGCCATTCAAACGTTGATGCGCATTATGTCTGCGTATGGCGAAAGTCTCAGCCCAGAGGCCTGGTCCATTTGTATGAAGGCGGTCATCTTCAGTCTTCTCTCTTCGGTCGAAAGCGAGCTGAGCGCCCTTAACTCGCTTCTCACGAAAGGCAAGAGCCAGGAAGAGTGGCAAGAGACAGCGATCGTGGTCACACAGGGAGTATCGGACTTGTTTGGTTCCTTCCTCAACGTGCTCGCCGCTCACCGAAGCTTCCCCGAAATTTGGCGGGACCTAATTGGCCATTTCCGCACTCTACTTGGCCTCGAGATTCTCGACATCAACGCTGCTGCTTACAGCGCTCTCCGCGACATCCTCCACAGGTGCGGAGGACAAGAGAGGTCGAGCATCGGGAGGGATAGCCTCGACCTCGCATGGGATCTGTGGTCGCAGCAAATTCCTGTGCCGAAGAACTCACGAGACGACAAGTCGTCAGACAACCAAAAGTGCTTGCTAGTTTGGGTGGAGTGCTTCTTAGAGCTGTATTCGCTGATCCAAACCGACTTCAGCGTCGAGCGTGTGCGCAGCTTGCTCATACTCCTACGCGAAGCCATGCAGCACGCAACCCCTGGGGCATACGCCAGCGATGTCGAGTATGTTACGCCGCTACAAGGCAAGATCCTCGAGGTCTTCCGCATGATGCGCACAGATTCTCAAGGTGTGCCGTCTGCTATGATCACCCAAGTTGCCGAGTTCGTCTCACTAGCCTTCGCACAGGAGAATGCGGCTAGGGCGGCAGCGGAGAGACGGACATACGTTGCGATGTCAAAGGAGAGCATGTCCATCCTCCAATCCTTGATCGTGAAGCATGCCTCACAACGGGACATTTATGAAACGGGCGCATTCGCTACAGCGTTGGCCGCCCTCTCCAAACCAATCATCCTTAAATATCAGTTCCAAATTGCCACAAAGACTCATTCTCCGTGGAGGGCAGCGACAGAGGCCGCCTTGGCTGTACTTGACGCGGCACTCCCTCACCTTCAGAGCATGGACCTACCTCGAGCGACCGTCCAGGAAATCTGGCAGATCATCATATCCATCGCCAACGGCATCATCAGCGCTGACTTGGCCGCTCCCGCGACGGCCGCGGCAGACATCATAGACGACCAACAGTTCGACATCACTTCGTTCGGCAAACTGCGCAAGCTCATCATCCCGGCCCTCGGGGCCGAGGTGATTCCTGATGAAACTAGGAAAGCGTACGCCGAGGGGCTATTCCGCACATCCATCATCCACCCTCCTGCTCCGGCCGAAGCCGCGATCCTCGACGGGAACAATGGGGCCGATCCGACGGGCTTGCACTTGCTGTACAAGAAACGCATCGGCCGCACCATCGATCCTCCACCAACCAAGCGCAGCCTCATGAGCGAGGTGTGCCTCGACGAACTTTTCTCCCTCGTTGAAGTCCATCACGAAGGAACAGCCGCATCGGATGCCGCAATCCCTGCAGAGCCGACCCACGAACAATACGTCCGCCTCGCCCGCATCGCCGCACCCTACCTCATCTTCCGCTGTGCCCTGACTCTCCGCGGCTACGTCGCTGACCAACCGCTACGGGGACGCATGCCACAGCCGCTGTCGCAGCGCAAGGAGCTGATTCGTATCCTGCAGCGTCTGGTAGAGCTGCACTCGGAACCGGACGCGATTCCGGATGCGGCGAACGTGGACAGCGAGACGAGGAAGCACCTGTTCAGGCTGTATCCGCTGCTGGTTAGTGCAGTACATGTTGCGGGCACGGCCGGGGATCAAAAGGTTCTGGGCTTGATGAGGGAGGCGCTGGATGTGGTGGGCGGTGAGTTTGGCATCTGACGGAGTTATTTCCGTGTATTGTGCTGAGCGTTTTGGTAGAATACATTGACATTGAGTGGTTCAATAAGTGCCCGTCTGACGCCATGCCTCGCTTTTTCTATTCCGAGTTTCCATGCCGACGGGACAAGTAAATAGTACAGCCAGGTGTGATGTCCTTCCTCCTTCAGCTACCCCGGCAGCTGCCTCGTTATGTTGTGCCTGTTGTCCAGCGTCTCAGGACGCGTCTTGTTCATCCTGTGCACCCACCCTAAGCAGCCTTCTCCAGCACTGGCGCATTCTCCCCCTTGCTCGCCTCCCCAGTACCGCTTCCCGCCTCGATCACCTTGCCCTTCTCCAAGATATCCTTCGCCATCGTCTTCGCCTGCGCATCCCCCACCTTACCATACACGCTCAGCGCAGTAGCAATCATGCCGCCAATATCCCCCACGTTCCCGGGCACCACCACCGCTGTGCCCTCCTTCGCCAGCTTGGCAAAGGCATCCACGTATTTCTCCGCGACGGACAAGCTAACCGCCCCCTGCGCCGCGTCCTTGCCCTCGGCAATCGCCCGCGCAACCGCCTCAATCCCCGCCGCTGTCGCCCGCGCCCGCAGCAAGATGGCCTCGGCCTCACCAGCGGCCCGGTTGATCTTCTCCGCTCGTACGGCCTCGCTGGCCAGGATGGCGCTCTGCTTCTTGCCCTCGGCAATGTTGATCGCGCTCTGCCGCTGGCCCTCGCTGTCAAGGATCTCGGCGCGCTTCGACCGCTCGGCCGTCACCTGGCGGTGCATGGCCTCCACGACGGGCTTGGGCGCGTGGATGTCGCGGATCTCGTACCGCAGGCACGTCACGCCCCACGCCTGCGCGGCCTCGTTGATGGCCGCCGTGATGTTGGTGTTGAGCGCCGCGCGCTCCTTGAGCACGTGGTCGAGCGTCAGCTGGCCGATCTCGGAGCGCATGGTTGTCTGGGCGAGCTGCGAGATGGCGTACTCGGCGTCTTCGACGCCGTAGGAGGCTTTGTACGCGTCGAAGACCCGCGTGTACAGCACGCCGTCGAGCTCGAGGGTTACGTTGTCGGCGGTGATGGCGGACTGTGAGGGGATCTCGATCGCGACTTCTTTGAGGGACTTGACGTAGGCGATGCGGTCGATGAAGGGGATCAGGATGGCCAGCCCGGGTTGCAGGATGCGGTTGAACTTGCCCATGCGCTCGACGATCCAGGCTGTCTGCTGCGGCACGAAGCGGATGATGGTGTTCATGGGGAGGGAGGCGGATTTCTGGAAGTAGGTCGGCGGCATGGGCCCCGGGCCGAGGCCGCTGGGGAGCGCATTGTGTGGTGTGGTGTGGAAGGGGCGGATGTGCGCTTCGTTTGATCTCGTCGTTGGCGCTGTCCTGGAGAGAGCGAGTACTGCTGCTGCTGCTCTGGAAGAGGACCGGGGAGAACTGGAGAGGCTCGCCCGAATGGTGGGCACGAGAGCCCTTTGCGCGGCTGTTAGCGACATGGTCGGCCGACAACCTCACATTCGCAGTCGCTGGAGTGCGCTGTCGTTGCTCGTGATGACAGGTTGAAGGAGCTGCAGGTGGTCAGCAATTTCGACGTCAGTGCTTGCTTCAATTGGGTCCACCGAAGCTGTCACCACTCATCGCGCCCTTGTTGGGCCCACTCATGGTTGCGGGAGTTCTCCGGTACAACTGACGTGAACGTTACGTACGGGATGCATTCGGGTAATAGTGTACGTAACGTACCGTGATCGTGTATTTTACAGTAGCGCCGCGCTGGCTTACACAGGTTCGCGCCAACAGTACCTTTGGTACTATGGTAGAGGTCACCTGGCAAACGTGGAAATGGCGTGGGAAGGTGATGTTAATGCGGTAATGGGCATGGAATTTGTGGCATTCAATCAATTGGACCCCATCTCCCTGGCTTGGCCCGAAGCTCCCCAGTCTTCCAGGTTTGCTCCGTTTCCTTCTACCACTGCTTGGAGAATTACGTAGAACATCCACACTTACATACAAGACGAGTTATGCGGCAGAGTTTATGAGACTCGGATAATGCTTGCCTAGTCGCGGCGTAGGGAACCTGAACGGCTGCTAGGCCGTCTCTCGGATCTCAGTCTCTCAGGCATCAATGAGCCTCAAAGCTTCAGAAGATGTTGATGTTGGTGAAGGCTTGTTTAGTGAAACAACTTCTTCAGAGGATTGGATGACAACTTAGCTATTATCCTTGCGGTCTTTTAGAGTTTACAAGGACTTAATTGGAATTCCTCTCGAGCTAGGCCCTTATGTAGGTGCTGAAGAATCCTGCCAAGGCACACAAACGCTCCATCCACATATTCCTAGGTGGCGTCTGCACTCATCATCCAACAACTGGGGCTTCCGTGGCTCAGGGGTAGAGCGTCTGCCTCGTAGTTGACAGCAGAAGGTCGGCGGTTCGAATCCGTCCGGAAGCATTCAGTAACTTTATTTTTCCTTTTCTAGCCTTCCTGAGCCCATGCAGGTCCTGTCTGGCTTCTTTTGACTATCGCTTGGAAGTCTCAAGCATCTCTAACCCTATTCTTCAACCTCTGGCTTGGTATGTGGAAGCTTAAAGCCAATCAATCAGAAGACAGTGACAGAACTGGAAGACATAAATACAGCAGCGGCCAGGAAATTTGCTGCTGCAGCTCCTTCCAGACTGCTCCTTCCGGGTCAAAACAAACCAAGACAGCGACTGCCAGTGGAACGTTCAGAAAGGAGGCAGTGTTCAACTTCATTTTTTCATGTTCAGATCAGCTTGTTCGGGGGTTAGGCACGCAGCGATCATCTTATGAACAGCAACGGCGCGATCAGCGGGGCGCCGCGAATTCAATGGAAATGTGCTTGGGGATTTGCTCTCACTTACAGAAACCCGGTCTGATGTCCATCCACAAAAGAAGGCACAGAGACTGCAAACCCAGTTGTCGAAGGTTTTGAGGGAAGCCCAGCCTTGCGTTCGAAAGTTGTTCAGGTTCGATATAGAGCTCGTTGGAGTCGTCGGCAAGCTAGTTCTACCCGGAGGTGATGCCTTCTATGCCGCTGCCGCTGGACAATTGCGTCAGTGATAACTCGGAGCGGCGGACGTCATGAACGCTCCATCCCCTATCCTAGTTTCGAGTATATGGATCACGTCAGGGACTTCGATTTGAAAGAACTCCAGCGGAAGGCGAAAGTGACGAACAAAGACGCTTGGGCTTTTGTGCAAGGACTGCGGAGAGGAAGTCGGACGAGGAATCGGGTCCATGAGACGACTTCCGACAGATTCACCTGTGACTTCTCTGTCACTTTTGTACACATACAAATATCACTTTGCAGAGATACCCGGGTAAAATCCAAAACATTCTAACTGCTTAACTAGAGACAACCAATTTCCTGAACATGCCTTCGCCTTGACCTCAACGCCGGAAAGCCAAAATACCATACTTACCGTTATCAACAACTTACCAGTCAAACAGTCTCCTACCCCTTGTACTATTCCATGAAATTGCAACCCGGTCCTCCCCCTCCTACTACAGCCCCTTCTTCAGTTCCGGACTCTGGTTCAGCAATCTCTTGCTTCTCCTTGTGCCTTGCGCCGTAGCAGTCCTGCCAGTCTTCCCACCTGATCCCTCATCCCTTGCCCTTAGGCTTTTTCTTCTGCTGAGGAGGCGACTTCGTCTTCTTTGCCGTCGTTATCTTCCCAGTCCCAGCAGCATTACCATCATCGTCGGCCTTCTTCCTCTTCGGGGCTCTGCCGTGCTGCTTTTTCTCCTTCAGGGTAGAAGCGCGAGCAGCATCACCATCGTCGTCATCGGTCTTCTTCCTCTTCCGGCTTCTGCCCTGTTGCTTTTCCGCTTTCAGTCTAGTAGCTTCAGCTGCACCGTCCTCATCATCGCCCTTCTTCCTCTTGCGGGTTCTGCCCTGCTGCTTTTCCTCCTTCTGGGTAGTAGAGTCATCGTCATCACCCTTCTTCCTCTTTCGGCTTATGCCCTGCTGCTTTTCCCCCTTTTTGGTAGTAGCGCCAGCTGCACCGTCATCATCATTGCCCTTCTTCCTCTTCCGGGCTCTGGCCCGCTTTTCCTCCTTGAGGGCGGTAGCGTCAGCTGCACCATCATCCTCATCGTCAGCCTTCCGCTTTCGCTTCGGGTATCGATCCGCTGCACCAGCCTCCCCGCTGCTCTTCTTCTTCGTAGCAGCATCAGCAGCACCGGCGGTAGCCGCAGATTTAGATCTAGACTTCCCCTTCTTCGCGGACTTCTTCTTGTCGTCATCATCCGTATCATCACCACATGCTGCTAGCAGTGCTGCTGCTGCCATCGACGTTGGTGATGCTGGTGCTTGGCCCGCTGCCGGCTGTGCCAGCGCGTCCGCCAGATCCTCCGATATTTCCCGGGCCTCCTCTCGCAGGTCAGCCAGGCGGGCGTCCCTGGGGCGCTGATTCTTCTTGTCCATCTTTTCGCGCAGCGATCGCCCGAGAGCCGGCTTCCGCGCTCCAAAGGAAGCTTGCTGAGCGGGCTTGGCTTTGGTGCGGGCGTCTTGTTTCCGTGCCGGTGGTCGGGGTGGAGTAGCAAGGCTTTCTGCTTGAAAAGTTACTCGTCTACCCTTTGGCCGCTGTGCTCCTTCACTTGAGCGCTGCTCTGGGGTGGTCTGTTGTGACTCCGGCTTTGACTGCCTTTCAGCACCGGGTTTCCCCGAGGCTGGCTCTCCCTTTTTCGCGGCCTTTGCCATGCGCCTTTGCTCAGTGGGAGATACGGACGAGTGACTGGCCGTGGATCCAGGCCTGCCCGCAGATTCCGTTTCACTTGCTGCTCCCCTTGCTCTCTTGGTGGCAGATAACGGTGATTTATGGGCAGGATCGATTTTGAGTCCCATGATGTTGTGCAAGGTTGTAAGGAGCTGCTTGCGCATCACTTTCGGGCCCTTGCCTTTCCAGTCTGGAATGTTGTTCCATCTTAGGACCTCAAAGCGGATGAATGCCATGGCATTGGCAATCGCATGGAGTCCACAGCTCCAGAAGTCAACTTGATATGTGCTGGCCACACAATGGTGCTGTCCGCCCTCGGGAATAGGCCTGTTTGACTCTTTCAACCATGTCGTAAGGGCCTTTCGAGCCCCCTCGCTTCGGTCCCTGTATGCCTTCTCTTCTTCGTCGTTGTCTCGCGTCTTGTATCTTCGATACAGGGAGTCGATGAACCAGCTGTCCCCGGTTTTGAGCCGGTATATTATCACGGCCCAGTGCTCTGGCCACTTAAAGTGCACAAAGTGAATGGTGAATTTGGCCTTGTCGAAAGCAGTTTCATGGTGAGACTTTTCCTGGTCGGTATACAAGCCGGACTCGCCCAAAGGAAAGGCCTTCTCGGTTGCCTCGTCCTCCTTCTCGGTTTCCTCGTCCTCTTCAGCATGTGAATCCAGTTGAGGCCTAACGAGGAGTGTGTAATGCTCAGGAAGAATGAACCAGTTGCACTTTTCCTTCGAGCGCGGGCCCAGCCGTGCGGCCGGGTCCTCTTGGGCCCATGTTATAAGCCTCTCGGCGAGATGGAAAATCTCCGGGGCATGCAAGTACTGCCCCTGTCGCGCGTGGTAGAGGCCATTGTGGCAATGTTCCCAGGACTCCCATCTCCTGTCTTCCTCAACAGCGTCGAGAACAGGATGTTCAATCCGGCCCTTGTACTTGGCTTCCATAAATCTGCGCTTGTCAAGCATCTCATCGGAGTGACGGTCGATTGCAGGTTCTGTCACGGGGTGGAGGCCGTCATCAGGGAGAGGCGGACGAAGATCCCGATGACTGGGCAAGCGAAGTCTCGCCGAGTCTTCCGGGGTTTGGCCCCCGTTCCCAAATTCGGCGAGGTAGGGGGCAATGTCATTCTGAGGAGCAGCCATATTGTACACCTGTGCCAGGAGACAAGCTAATAGAGATCTTGGAAAATTTTCATCGCTCGAGACATGGGGTCCAGGCGATTGGCGTTGTTCTTTTAAGCCCGTTGGGAGACAAAGCACTCGACAGCTCCCTCGGGTCGCCGCAGGGTATCCCGCATCCGGTATTTGTGAGTTCAAACTTTATTGAGAATACAAAGACCATCAAAGAGGACCAAGTTAGACTGGCTATCTACAATCTTATTGACGGGCCCCCTGGACCTTGGCATGTTTTCGAGGTCTTCGCTCTTTGTCACGCGCCTGACTTCCGGCGGCTTTGCACCCCCAGTTGGCTTTGAGCCATCTACTGATGTTCGTTATCGGAAAGTTGCTGGGCCGATTTTGTGATAGGATCTTCCACGGATTGAATGTTAATCTTGAAATTTACGGAGGTAATGATTCGTAGTGCTGGATTTGGCAGAGAGGGCGACACGCGCGTGGGAGAAAGTTTGAATTTTGAGTCATATATCATACTTGTATATAATCCAAAAGCTCCCGGGTCGATCTATGCATGCACTCACCCGTCTTTTGAGGATGAATAGAACGTTGTCAGTCACCGCTAGTGTTCTGGTCCGACAAATATCGGGTCAGTTCACTTCATTCTTGCTGTCAAAGGCCCAAGTAGTACACAATTACGTCTACACAATAACTAATCCCTCCGCATTATGCTACGATGCTGGGTCCGCCTCGTCATCCTAACCAACGGTTTCAAAAGCCCCAAAGTGCAGTAGTCGGTTTCGTAAACAACCACGGCTTAGGGTACGTGATATACCCACGACAGATCGATTGAAACCCAGTCGACTGTTTAACACCCTTTAAATCGACAGGTGCACGCCCAACATTTCAATGCGGTTGGAGAGCTTTCTGCCACCAATGGAAAAGAGGAGCAAAGGCTGATTATGCCGAAAATGTCGCAGGCACGCACGGGTGTTGCAGCATAGGTATCGCGGCCTGCGATTGCGAGCCACAAGCGCTTGAGGCAAGAGGCAAGGATCAAAGCACATCAGCCCAATTGAAATGATCTGAATGTATGGCAAGGCAATCTCGAAGCGGCATTGGCATGGCGGCAGGTGTGCATGGCCATCAACCTTTTTTTGCGTTTCGATCGGGGCGCACTGATGCCAGGTCCGCCCTTCAAAACTTAAACAAATACGCAGTTGGCATTTTTGGAACCGTGAGAGGGCGACACCGTAAAAGCATACAGTGGGATAAGGTGGTTGCTGGGCGGGGTAAGCTGATCGAATCGTGAATACCTACCAGCCTAACCGCAAGGTGTCTGGGCTGTCCAGTCTAGAGCGTTGCAGAACAGTTTGCCGCTAGTCATCCGTCACACGGGGTTAGGAGATAATTCGTGTTGGGACTCACCTTAACTCCTCAGATTTGTAATCTTTGCATGAGCTCTTCATCGGCATGAGTCATCGGCGGCTCAACTCTTCTGCTTTCCCCATTCAATACTTTCGGTCTTGGTGCGCGGTAATGAGAAGTTATGGGAGGACATCGCCGAGCATAAATGATAAGTATAGCGACGTGGCCGGTGTCTGGT